GTCTGTGCAGCCCTGCCATCACCGGCAGGTTTTCCTGATGCCATGTATGCTGTGATGAGTGGGTCACACTCTGTGGGAGGACGCTAACCCCCTCTCTGTTTCTCTCTTTCTAACCCTCTGCCTGCCTGTCTGCTCTGCGCTCTCTCTCTGTCTGTGCCTCGGGGCTAGGATCGCTGACAAAGCCTTTTACCAGCAGCCGGACGCCGATGTGATTGGCTATGTGTATGTGCCTCTTACAGACCGTATGCTGCCCTGCAGGGTCTGGGGGTCCTGCCCCAGCACTGGCTGCCCAGCCAAGGGAAGGGGGGATGCTGGGAGGTACTGGGCCCTGGTGAGGTCCCAGAGGGAGGATGCTGCAGCTGAGCATCTCCAAGCGGTGGAGTCTTAGGAGGCAAGTGGAGCTCCTGGAAATGCCCCTGTGGGGGCTGGTTGAAGAGGCAAAGCCGTGGGGTCTTGTGCCTTTTGGGGGACAGCTCTGGGAGCAGAAGAGTCTTGGGAGCAGGCAGACAACCCCGTGCCCCTGGATGAATGATATCTTGGGTGAGTGCAGCCAACAGCAGCCTTGAGCATCGTGTGTCTCCGGATCCACTGAGCTCATTGGCTGGAGCAAGGGGACAGGAAGCGGGGACACGAGGGGCTCCCAGATAGAGGGGATGGTCTCCTTGGAAAGGATTCTGCCAGTGACAACCCTCAACGTCTCCGCAGGGCCTCGGAGGAAGCATTCCTGAAGGAGTCCAAGGAGGAAACCCCAGGCTCTGAGTGGGAGAAGGTGGCCCAGCTCTGTGATTTCAACCCCAAGAGCAGCAAGCAGAGCAAGGATGTCTCGCGGATGCGCTCGGTGCTCATCTCCCTCAAGCAGACGCCCTTGTCCCGCTAGCTGCTGCCTGGCACAGCCAGGAGCGCAGCAGGGCTCGGCCAGGCTCACTGAGCCGGGCGGCTTTGCGGGGCCAGCCCATGAGGGGCCTCACCCTGCCTGCCCCCTGCTCGCTGGTGCGCACCTCGGCTGTGCTCAAGTCATTGGTTGTACTTCTCCCCATGGTTTTCCTTTGCTTAAAAGGTGCATTGGTCTCTTTTTACATTTATTTATTACTGTGGCATTTCCCCGGGAAGCGACACTGGCTGGCAGAGCTGAGTTAGCAGGGCAGCCCCCGGCCTGGGCTCTGTGGGAGGTTGTGCCCAGGGGCCTGGCTCAGTGAGAGGGGGAACACCCCACCCCGTGTTCCCCACCTCACCCCTGTGCTAGGAATAAACCTGCCTGTGGCTGTCCTGGTGCTGGGTGAGTGCAGGCATGGCAGCCCTGTCCTGGGCCTGGGTCCTAGCCCCAAGGCAGCGATCCTAGTGGGACCCCTGGCTCCCATCTGCCTTTCCGGCAGGGTTTAGAGCAGAGCTGGCTGCAGGGCTGGGAGGGTGGAGGAACAGCTCTGACTCAGCTCTGTGCCGCAAGGTTCTTCGGGGAGCACAGCTGCAGCGTGATGCTGCTGGGCTTGCAGGGACTGAGGAATGTAAGTGCAGGCACCCAGGCTGGGCCGGGACTGCCAGCAGTTGCCCCAAGCCCAGCAGACCTCTCCCCAGCCTGGCTGTGCACCCCAAAAAGCTGGTGGGGCTCCAAGCAGCAATTGCAGTGTCCGTGTCCCATCTGTCCTGTGGGGTTGCTGGTGCCAGGCAGCACGGTGGTGCAGGGCACTGGGAAGGGGCCATGGGGTGAGTGTGCAGGATGTTTCCTGTCCCTCCCCCAGGACCACCAGCAGTTGAGAATGTGGGGTGCTAGGCTTTGGGGGTCCTCAGCTCTGCTCTGCTCCTTCCCCTGCTACTAGGATGGGAGATGGAGGCTGTGTGGTTGCAGGGAAGCAGATAGGAAGGTCCAGCTGCTGTGGGGCAGGTCAAGCCCTCAGCTCCCTAACCCAGGTGCCCAGAGCAGGATTGGGCAGAGTTCTGGTGCTGGAGCTTGTGCTGTCCCTGGAGAACAAGCCGCATATCTGTCTGCAGCTGCTCTGTGGCTTCTCTCTGGCCCCTGCTGGATTTGCACACCTAAGGCAGCATGGTGAGATGCCTCAGTCCCGCTCCCCGCCCCGCAAGGCACATGCTTTCCAGCCCAAACACTGGCTTTCTCTCCTCTGCTTGGTGTGGTCAGCACCAGCCCCTCCGGCTCAGAGGCCCAGCCTTGGAAACCTGCAAAACTCCTGTGTAGCAAGAGAAGGGCAGGCCTGTGTGCACCATGCTTGCAGGGCAGCCTGGAGCTTGTGCCCTGGCTCTGGCCCGCCGGAGGCTTGGGAAAGGCTCACAGCAGCAGGCTGGGGGGACATGGAGCAGAGCCCACAAAACATTTGCTTGAGCCTCACTGCAGAGCCCTGCTTAGCCGAAAAGCGAGTATGCAGAGCTCTCCTGGCTTGCAACTACGGCTCCACGAGTCAGGAAGGTCACCTGCCCTGCTGCTGCAGCCCTTGTGGGGTGACCGGGCACCCCTGGCTCTGAGGCACGGGCTCAGCAGTGGGCTGGGAAGGGAAATAGGTGTGTAGGGAGTCTCTTGGTGACGTGTGCTGGGATTGTCCCCTCTTGTCCATAGGGCTGATCGCTCCTGCTCTGTCCCCCCCGCGCTCCAGCACACATAGGCAGCTCTGCTGCAGTGCGGGACGGACACTGATGCAGTATAACTCGGGACTCAGCTGCCTGCCTCTGCCTTTCACTGCAGAGCAGCGGGAAGCACCTCTGGCTGCTTCCCGGGGGCAGGGAGCCCCCCTGTGCTCTGGCCCTCCAGCCCCCACAGGCAGCCGGGCCCCTAGATCCCCCGGCTGCCGTGCACCCTGTGTCAGGCAGGGGCAGCCAGCTCCCAGGGAGCCGTGCCCACAGCTGTTCTATATCCCCTTGGCTTTGGTATCTGTGACTGTTCAAATCACCTGTTACAATAAACCGACATCTCCAATCCTACAGGGCACTGTCATCTTTCTGCTTCAGCAACACATGTTTGTGTTTAGGAGAACTCACAGCTACGAAGCCTTCTGCGGAAAGGACAGCACTGGAGGAGAACCACATTCTACAGGAAAAAGTAGGAGCGAGGGGAAGGGCCAGAGGGTTTGCGCTAGGCTGGGGCAGAAGCAGTGGCAGCAGGACCGGGGGGCTCCGCTCTGCCCTCAGGGACCTGCGAGCTCCTGCGTGTCCAGACGGGCTGAGCTGCTCCCCAGCCCACTGTGCCGTCTCCAGGCTGCCAGTGCCAAGGGATTGCGCTCGCAGATCTGCCCGCCAGCTGCCTCTCGCACGCCTGCCCCCAAGCTGGCTGGGCTGGAACTGCCAGTGAGGCAGCCAAAAGCCGTTTCTTCTGGGAAAGACGTGCTGAGCAGCCAGGCAACGAGGGAAGGCAGGCAGCGCCACAGCCCCGCAGCAGGTAGAGCCCCGGGTTCCCCGGTGCTGAGGTGGAGCTCACCCTGCTCAGCACCGGCGATGGCTTGTCCCCCACCCTTGCATTTCAAAAATCAGCTCTGCTGGGTGAGAGCCTTCCCCCTCTCCTTGTCGAGGCCCACTGGCACCATGGTTCCCCACACAGGACAAACCAAGCACTTGTTCATGGGCAGAGCAAGTTTACCCCTCATCCTGTCCTCCAGAGCTGCTTGTAATGGCAAAGCGGGATCAGCAAGTTGCCAGGCAGCCAGCTACAAAGCCACCGCAGGCCAGGGAGGGCCAGGGCGCAGGCACCAACACGCAGACGCCCAGAGAGCAAAGCCTGGAAACGCCCCAGGCAGCTCAACATTGCAGCACGGTTAGTAGCGTCTGTGGCCCTTTCCCCTGCAGAGATACGCTCTGCCTACAGGCAGGTACAAGCTGCTGCAGCCACACAGCGAGCAGAGCCTACGGCCCCATTTCCTCCCCGCTCTGCAGCCCTGACACGGGAGAGCAAAGTCGTCTTAGTCTCGCTGCTCACCAAACACTCTGGTATGATCCAAATGATCCAACATGGCAGGACTTGGAGCTGCCCGTGGCAATGTCACGACACAGGCAGCGCAGCTCCCTCTGGGAACAGGGCACTTGCTCAGCGGCCAGTTCCAGCTCACATGAAGCAGCGAGCTGCGCAGGAACCGACTCCCCAGCAAAAGCAGCAGCATGTCCCAGAGAATGCGGCCAGGCCCTGTTTTGTAAATGTGAGCTCCCAAGTTGTTTTCACAGGGAGTTACATCTCTTGTGTCCCGCTTGCATCACCACAGCTTCGAGGCAGCCGTGCCTACTCCCCTTCCTTCCTACACTGTTTACTCTTCTGGCTTCTCAATGCTCTGCAATCCAGTATCAGTCAGAATCTCGCTGCAATTCACTTTATTACTCACCGGTTGCAACCGAACAGATTACATATTCTCCCCAAACAACTCACCCACTGCTTATGAACTGCATCCTGCCAGGATCAAGCCATAAACAGAGCTGTTCCTTCCTACCCGGGCAGCTCATTTCTCAAATGTTGGTGCACCACCTGACTAAAGCCACACCTCAGTGCAGACCATGACCCACAGGACACAATTTTAACAGACTGTGACAGCACCAAGCAGGGACAAGAGGTCTGACGGGGGTGGAGGGCCTTAGTGAGGCGCAGGCTCCAGTGTTACAGGAGGATAAGCTCTCAGGGAATCAAAAAATGCCACGGCCCAAATTTCAGGTTCATCACAGAGGTGTATTAGCTGCATTTCCAGTGCTCTGGAACACAGAGCCTCTCTGACACTGGCTCCACCGAGACATCACAACTGTCTCTCAGAAAACTCCATCTGCAGCCAGAATCCCCCCTGCCAGTGGGGCACAGGCTGGCGGGCGTCCGCCCGCAGCTTCTCTCTTGCCTGATTTCACTTTCTAGATTTCATGGCTGTGACCACCATGCCTCCCAGGAGGGCCGCGAAGGTGAAGCCCTGGGCCAGGATACGTGCCCGCATCATCAGCTGAGACCGACGGGTGTTGCCTCTCTTGAAGCTGATCAGTCCGTAGGTCAGGACGCCGACGGTGCAGAGGCAGCCTGCGGGGAAGGGCGGAGGGACGGGTCACCGGAGCCGGGCAGGGGCTGCGAGGATCCGCTCACACCTCCTCCCGCTTC